TTAATCAAATAAAAATATTTAAAAAGAATAAAATATAGAAAAAAATTAATAATTTATATTAATAATTAAAAAATTTAAATAAAGCTTTTGTTTTATATTTTTATTTAAGAAAAAAATTAATTATTGTTTATATAAATTATTAAATTTTTATATGAAATTTATATTTAAAAATTTTTTCAATAAAATTAAGAATACTCAAATTAAGTAATTAATTCTCAGAGCACGCGAGGAAATGAACAACAACCTGTATTGCATCCGTAGGAAAGATGAAAATTGCTTTGCCTTCTTGGATTCCCACTTACAACGTGGAATTCTTTTCTTTTTATCGTATAAATAAATAATTAATACATCCTTACTGCATAAGTTAAAATATTTAGAAAAAAAAAATCAAAAGAAAAAGGGGTAAGATATGCAATCTCTTAGCTTTAGACTTATTCCATCGAATTTCATTATTTTTATTTTATTATTGGTCATGAATTTCTCGATTTCATACCTATGAAATTTCTTCAACTTGGAGGGTTCCTTTCGCATTCATTCCTATGTCTTATTGGGCTTCTTTTGCTTTTTAAAAAGAAAGGTAATAAAGAAGAATCCCCTGCTTTTCATATAAAATTTGATTGCGTTTCAACTTTCAACATATATTTTAAATGCACAAAGAAAAAAATTTTTAAAAAAATTTATTTGTACTGAAAATATCATCACCATCCAATGCGGAAGACCAAGAAGCAAAGCATTATGTCAACAGTCTGTAACTTTTCCCCAATCTAACTTTTTTAACTTTTTTATTAATTATATTAAGCATGATAGTCTTGACGATGGTCATTGCATAGACAGAATAATAGGAATACAATAAAGTCGTTGATGCCATCAGAACCAATGTAGTCAGTACCGTACCGTACCGACCGGTACGGCCGGTATGTACTGGTTTTGGAGGTTAACCAAAACGGAATAAGTTAAGATTTCGTTTCAGTCAAATTTCGGGTGTACCGGTCAAATTCCGGTGTATCGGTCGAAATTTCGGGTACCGGTCGAAATTTCGGATACCGGTCGGTACACCGGAATTTGACCGGTACATTGTGCAAGAAGGAAAAAAAAAAAAGAATCCCCAGCCAAAACAACGTCGTTTTGGCTGGGGGGTGGCAGCAGAAATCGGCGGCAGTCCGTCGGAACCAGCAGAGCCGCGGTGGGCGTCAGATCTGGCAGCCCTCTCACGCGCCGCCACAGATCCGCCGGAGGAGAAAGAAGGCCGCCGGATCTGCACCGAACAGAGCAAGAAACAGCAAACAAACAAAGCATATAAACAAACAAACCAAAAAAACCCACACAAAACAAAAATACAAAACCAGATCAGCAAGGGGATGGTGAAGATTCGAGGTGAAAGAACGGAGGTGATGGTGGCTATGGTGGATCTGCAGAAGGGAGAAAAATCAAGTTTTTTTTTTCTGTTTTCTCCTTTTTTTTTTCTTCTTTTTTTTTCGGGTTTGGCAGCCGCACCTTGCCACCTCCTCCTTCTCCCTTTAAAAGAGAGGGAACTAGGGTTTTGTTACATTTGGGGATGGGCTGCTCAATATTGGGCTGGGCTTATAAGTTTGTTTTTGTAAATTTCATCCTCAGCTTTTTAATTTTTTCAATTGAGTCTTATTCTTGTTTTTTTTCTTCAACTTCTCCCCCAAATTTTTCATAAAATTTTTTTATAATGGTAAATCCGAAACGGTACGCGAAAAATTCCGATATCTGGTATGTACCGTTCCAATAACAAAACCGATACGTATGCTAGTACGGTATTGACTACTTTAATCAGAACACGATTTGCTTTAAATAATATAGGCCCCACAAATAATCAACACGCGGTTTGCTTTTAGGGGAATGTTTAAATATATGGGGGCCCTACAAATAATCAACACGCGGTTCGCTTTAGACGAATGTTTCAAAAATGTGGGGGCCCTACAAATAATATTGTCTCGAAATGCGAGAAATTGATGGAATTCAACAAATTCACTGTGATCACTGTAATTTTTAATAAGAATAAAGATAAATAAAATTAAAATTTAGGATAAAAATATAAAATTAATGAATTTTATATTATTTAATAATTAATATTTTAGTTTTTTTAAAATTTTAATATTATATATCAATTAATTTAATAATATAATATAAATGATATTTTTAATTTTAATTTTTTATTTTTCTTATTATTACTCTTTTAACAATAATTTATAAAGAATTAAATTTA